GGGTGGGTGGGAACGCACTTCCTATAATGACCTTTAGGGGGAGGCTTCGCCTGTAAAGTGTACCTTTCTCTTGACTAAGGTATATTCAAAGGCAGTGATTTCACAAATTGAGATATATAGAAGGGTAGGGAAATCGGAGTGTCTTTATTCCCGCCACAACGTGACTTCGAGAAATAATACTTGTTTTTGTGTATCTGCTGGTGAAGCTTGATGTTCTCCCGTACTTGAAGAATTCTAATAGTATACTAGTGCGAATGCAGCAATCTCTTAGCAGAACTACTCGTATACTATCAGCCATTATAGTTCACCACTAAATTTTCTCCGATTCTAATTGGCTGACATTGATCACGTGACGCGATAGTATTGTTCTTCGGCGCAGTGACGCTTCAGCTCATAGTGCCCGTCCGAGGAAAATACCCGGATGGATAGTGCTCGTCCGTGAAAATTTTTCTGTAAGCAAGAGGGCCTTTAAAAAGTTAACACATGAAATAATTTCATCTGTTAGTGGGTTTATGTCTGTTTCCTTTTTCAAATTTTACATTTGGCTTTCACGGGTTCCATCTGAAAAAGATGAAAATGATTTGACATGATTTTTGAACTGCCGCCAGAAGAATATGAATTTGGTGGTGAACAATAACTGAGACAATAGAGTGTTTATGTCTCGGAACTATCGGTCTAATAGTTGCCCCTTGGAAATGTGATATTCTTAAAACTGGGATATTTGCCCTCGAAGCTTCGCTTTTCGGGCAAGTATTTGTTTCAAATAAATATCAGCCGATAGTTCTCGACAGAAACACTCTATTGTTTAAATAGAAATCGAGAGCGAATAATCTAAGTGTAACATTGTGCTCATTAACTTCATTCTAGAGGATAGAAAAACGATGTACTGTTCTCAAAGAGATCTGTGAGAGGAGTACTTTTTTAGCATTAAAAGGTTGACAAAAGGAGTAGCCTTTCGGTTAATTTAGTGTACCAAATATTAAACGGTCCTCACTCCTCCCCACCCCATTACAATATAAAAAATGTAAAATGTAAAATGTAAAACGTGCATAACCGAAAGAGTCCTTAGAATTTAGTCGTTTCTGATAAAAGGTTTTTTAAAGGATATAGAAAAGTTATATCGCCGAAATTCTGCAGCAATTTCTAATTGTGAGGCATAGTTGATCGAGATCACAGCCTTCACCCTGCAGTGCTGAATGCTTTGTTAGTACACTCAAAGCGAGAAGATTCGTTTACAAGAAAAACCCAAACAGTATTCGGAATCGCGTACAATTTCTTAATAAACGTCAATTACGGTATTGTGAAGTATATATGAAATAATTCATATTTGAACTGCGGTAGTAGATGAAAGTGAAGTATGATCATCGCAGTAAATTTTCCAATTTAAGCAACTGG